GGGCGCCGGCTCTGCTCCTGGCCCAGCTGCTCGCCCGGCCGCCCCGTTGCGCCGCGTCCCCGGCCCGCTCTGCCCGGCGGGAGCCAGGAGCGGCGTCCGGCTGCGGCTGCGGGAGCCCGGCTGGAAGGGCCGGGCCGGGCTCTCCCCTGGGCTCCCCGCGGCCGCCGGAGAGGGAGGGCGGCCTTCTTCCCGACCTCGGGGGCTCCCTCCGGGCGCTGCCGGCTCTCGGTCTCCTTGCGGCCGCCTTAGAGCGGCGTTGCTTTTTCTCTCCCCTCGGGGGCGGCGGGCCGAACTAATCCCGAGGCGGCCTTTGTTTCCCGCGAAGTTTCCGCCCTGGCCGTGGAGCCGAGCCCCGGGCGGGTCCCCAGGCGAGCGCGGCGCTCGAGGATGCCGCTCCGGACGCTTCGGGCTCGGATTCCGCCCGCCCCTCGCCGAGGAGCCGGCGCCAATTGCAGACGGCCGAGGAAGGGCAAAGGGCCGCCCAGCACGGGCCAGGCCCGCTTCTCCCGGGAGCCGCGGCGGCTCTCAGCCGGGACGGAGGTTGCGCTCTTGGTCTGTGAGATGGAAGCTTCCCCGAGCCTCCCTTCGGCTCCTTCGGCTTCCCTTTGGGGAGGCAGCGCTTCGGGCCAGAGACTTTCCTGGCCTCCGGAACAAGCCTCCCGTGAAGCGGAGCGCCTCATTTGGCCCCGTGGGACCGGGAAGGATCCGGCCTTCTAACCGCCGAGGGTTCCTAGCGGGGCTCTTTCTCCGGCCCGCCAATCCGGAGGTTTCCCCAGGGGCTCCTTGCCCATTGGGTGGAATGCTGTGATGTCATAAAGCCCTCCTGGGATTCCCCCGGGATTCCAAGGCACCAGGCAAGTAATTCCTGGTCCTTTGGGCCTTCCCTCCCATGGCCTCCCATCCCCCCCCCCCCCCCCGGGGCCCCCCCGGCCGGGGCCCCCCGCCCCCCCCCCCACCGCGGGCGCAGGGCCCCTCCTGCCACAGGCCGGTCTCCCTCCACGCCAATGCCACCCAGGTGGCCGCCCCCTGCAGCCACGAGGGAGCTTAGCTTTCTTCTAAACAAAGAAAGCTCTAAGCAGGATGGGGGTCCCTGGAGGGGAGACCCCGTCAGTGCCGAAAGGGAGATTGGGATGCCGCCGAGGAAAAGCTTCTGAAAAGGAGGATCATGGCCGCCACTCTTTGCTTAAGAAGAACCTGGAGCCGTGCGTGGCCCCCTCCGCAGCTCCCCCCCCACCCCATTCTGAGCCTCTTCCGCTTTTTCGGGGGCTGCCTGGGATCAAGCCAGCAGCTGCTGTGGTTTATAGCCAAGCCATGGTGGCTTCTTCCACAAACCATGGTGGAGCTCTATGAGAACTGAGCCAATGCCCGCCATCCTCTCTGGCCAGATCCACATTTCCCAGGCGGCTACCAGGGAGGGCGCCAGCAGAGGCAGGATGCTGAACGGCCCCATCCGTGTCGCCCCTCCGTGGAAGGAGCTCCAGAACCAACTTAGGGGCAGGCTGGAGCTGCAGAAGGTGAGGCTCCCGAAGCCAGTCTGGGAGTCCTCTTGGCCAGAGTGGGAGGGGGCCATGGGGCAGGATGGGGGGGTCAAGGCCACGGTCTCAAAAGAATCCGGTTTCTTGAAAAAGAGAGGGGAATGGGGGACAGAATCCTGGGAAGGGGATTGTCGGACTCTCTGGCTGTCCCTGAAGCCATGCGGGGGGAAGGCGGAGGCGGCGGCAGCCCTGGCCTGGCTGACCCGGGAGAGGAGGCAGCTCTGCCAGTAGCCGGCCCTCCCGCTCTCCCACCCTACTGCTCTGGATTCTGCCCCTCGCTCAGGACTGCTGCCCCCTCCTCAACCTCCCCAGCGCCCCCCCCCTGAGCAGCGCCTCTCTCTCTCTCCCTCGGCCCAGGCCTTGCCGGAAGGGGCCGAGGGGACCCCCTTTCTCCTGAGCGACAGGCCCAGCATCGTCTTCCGGGAGAGCTGCTTCCCCAACTACATGCCTCTCTTCTGCTGCTACGCGACCGAGTGGGGGAACTTCTTTGCCTCGTTCACCTGGAGGAGGGCCAAGCGGAGCAGGGTGAGTGCGAGGGAGGCCCTGCCCCCCAGCCTCGAAAGTGGCTCCCCCAAGAGGGTCCAGAGCTTCTACGGCTGCCTGCAGGCCTCGGCTATGAGCCTTCGGATCTCTGCTTGGGCAGAGCAGGCTCCTTTGGTGGGCTGTTGCCAGCCACCCTCTCTGTATCTGCACCCGGAACTTTCCTGGCCCTGCTGTTCCCAGGGGCAGCGGGCCCTTGGGCCTCCTTGGTTGCACCTAACCCGACCCGGCTGCCCCCTCTGGTCCTGCGTTCTCCAATCCGGCTTGAGCAACCCTGAGCTATTCAGCCCTCCCGCTCCCAAGAGGGAACCGGCCCCCTGTGCCCCAGTCCTGCTGGCCACAGTCATCACCAAGTCCTTCCTCCTTGTGCCCAAAGATGCTCAGACTGCGGTGGGATCCAAGGTCCCAAGGCCCTTGTAGTCTGATCTCCCAGATCCCTTTCCTCCCTCCAAGCAAATGGCTGGACCCTCTTTCCCAGCCTCCTGCTATGGCCCCGCTGCAGGCAGGGCGGAGGAGGGGGCTCTCTGCTCTGTCCATCCTGCCTCTCTCTCCGCCCTGGAAGTCCAAGCTGGGCTGGGCTGAAGGGCTTGGCCACTCGTGCTGACTCCAGCCCTTCCTCTTCCCTGCCAGGTGCGTGTCTGGAGTTACAGCCTAGAGGACGAGAGTTCAGTGACCGAGAAGATGTACACCTTGGAGGAGCACCCGGGGGTCCTCACCGTCATCTACGTCCCCCATGGGCACCTCTTTGTGGCTTACTGCGATGACATCCACTTCCGCTTTTTTGGAGACCACACCCGGGACTTCAAGCTGCTCTCCAAGATGTCTTCCCCCTATTCGGTCACCAGCCTGTGCTACAGTCCCGAAACATGTGAAGTGATTTCTGGCGCCATCGGCGTGGTGGCCTTTTGGACCTTTTTGATGCTGGAGGTCCCCTCTATGAGCGTCACGCAGGAAGTGTGGGTGGCAACGGGTGAGTTTGTGCACTTTCTCAGGGTGGAGCAGGAGCGGAGGATGCTGGTGGCCCTTTGCGAGAACATCATCCGAGTGTATGACTACCAAACCAAAGCCCAGATCCGCACCTTCCCAATGAGCCAAGGCGTCTCTCTCACTTGCTGTGCTGCCTACTGGCCCCAGAGCTTCCTCTACACGGGAGACCTGGCTGGGGATGTCAAGGTGTGGAACTTCGAGACGGGGACCCACGTCAAACAGGTCAAGGCCCACCAGAGTGCCATCAGCAACGTAATCATCCGCATCGCTGTGCACAGCTTCATGACGGCCTCCTTGGACGGGATGCTGAAGGAGTGGAACCTGACGACCTGCGAGCTTCTCCGGCGGGTGGACATCGGAGAGGAGGTCTTCCAGATGCAGTTCCTCAACGAGGAGACTTTTTTCCTCCGCACCCTGCATACCTTCTCCATCCGTACCGTCAACAATTTCTACCAGCTCTTCAACAGAAGCAAATCGATCCTCAAGAGGTTGGTGCGCGTACAGTGTGGCCCAGACAAGGCCCGCCTCCTGGCCACCACTGAAGATGGAGTCGTCCGATTCTTATCCCCTGTGACAGGAGAAATGTTGTTTGTTACCTGGCCCTTCCAGCTGCTAGAAAAAGCTCTGGACTATGTTTATGACCCAGATCGAGAGGAACTCTTGGTGACGATGGGCACAAGTGACATCTACGTGTTGGATACCACCAAGAACCCTTGCCCAGCCAAGTACATTTTGCGCACCACAGACAGCTTGGACGACAAGGTTCTGTGTTTGGCCTACAGCCGTCTGGACCTGAATGGCCGGACCACCAGCTTCATCTTCAGCGGGTTCAAGAGTGGGAAAGTGCGCTCAGTCACTCAGCAGCTGTATCGAATGGGCGGTCGCAAGCTGCACGATGGCAACGTGGTGGCCCTCAGCAGCCTCTCAGGGTCAGGGTACCTGTCGTACCAGTCACGGGAAGCCGCCTTCCTCTGCTCCTATGGACTCGACGAATACATCATCCTCTCGGAAGTGATCCTGAAGAAGAGCCGCCTCCTGGAGGTGCTCCCTCTGGTTGTCATTCCCAGCACCAGCTGCCGGATCAACATCCTGCTGCTCATCCCCGGCTACATCTGTGCCTTGACGGAGCAGAACCGAGTGCGGCTGTGGCGCCAGGCATCCCTGGTTCCTGGCGAGAAGAACCCCTTCTGGAAGGAGACAGCAGCCATGCACTCGAGCACCATCACCTCTTTCGACTACTGCCACACTCTGGGCATATTGGTGACTGGTGGCTCAGATGGCTCCGTGCGCATTTGGGACATCCTGGGGAAAATGTTGGTGGAGTTTGACACCACCCTCAGGTTCAGCCGCGTCTGTTTTGCCAACCAACGGGGGGACTTGGTGGTTGGCTGCAACACGGACATCTACTTCATCTCCTGTGTTACGTACCTACCAAGGAAGCATCTTGCCAGTCTGTTGACCCACCATGTAAGGGATGACGTGGTTGAACGCCCCCTGCCCTTCCTTCCCTGCTTCCTTCTTACCTTCGATATTGTCTTTGTGCCCAAGTAAGTGGTTCCATTGTGTTTTGATGGGGTGGCTAAAATTATCTATCCTCTGTCTCTCTGTCTGTCTATCTCTTTTTATGTATTTGGCTATCTATCATCTCTATCTTCTATGTCATGTATCTGCAGCTTGTTGGCTTAACAGGCATTGGGATTTGAATTTTCTGGTGCTTTATAATTTTTTTCTGGAGAATATCTGCCTTTGCGTATTCCAGATATCTGCAGATTTCTCTTTTCTCTGCTTTTTGTAGTTTTTTTTTTTTACTACTGTACCAGTTGGACAGTGGACGCAAACCTGCTCCTTGGCCAAAAGTTTTCCCCACATCCACTCCGCGCCAAGGGCTTTGCCTCAGTGTGATTCTCGCAGGGCCTGGCTTTTTCACAGAAGCTCTTCTCGTACGTCAGACACCGAATGCTCTTCTTACTCATCCCTCCGAGTTTTTTACTACCTTAGTTTGAGCCTTGAAGCTTTTCCTGGGACCTCTGGGCTGGAAGAGCGTCCTGCTTGCAGACCTTTGGAGGGCCTGGTGCTAGATCTCAGGGGGCTTCTGCTTGGGTTCTTCACAAGCACAAAGAGCCTCAGACCAGAGGGAACCATGGACGAAGGTTTCCCTCCAGGATCAGCCATGTTTCTTGTTTGCATGCTTCTTGAGCCAGTAGCCCAGCTACATCTTCGTGGATGTATTTCTATCTCTGCATTCCAGCCTAAGTAATTTTTATTAACATGGGAGGTAATTAACTTGGCCGGTCCAATTATTGTATCGGTACTCTCTGAGTTTAATGTGGATTTTCTTTGCATCATAGAGCTACATAGCTTTATTTAGATCAACCTATCTTGAGAACATTGTCCTATTTCTCTTGAATTAGTTCATGCTTAACAGAGCACATCCTGTTCAGGCAGGGTCTCCAATGCTTAAACTCTTCAAAGATTTTCGTTGAGGAATTCCAACATAATTTGCTGATCTGGGATTGAAATATATTGTTGAGTCTCCTCTGTGTGATACCTGGCCCAACTCTGGGGAATCACCTCATCCAGCAGTTTCCTATTGCTCGAAAGTAAGGGAGGAGAATGTGGAATCCATGGACCGTTGTGGGGCTTGCAGGCTGCCCAGGCACGGCTTCTCTGCTTGGGAGGGCAATTTAGGAGAGGAGAGGCCAATGGGGGGGGGGCGCAGTGGGAAGTTTGTGGGCTCCAGATCCTTGTAGGGGGGATGAGAAAGAGAGGCTTTTCCCATTAAAGATTGGGACCTGGAGCACTGGGGGGGAATCCGGGAGACGGGAGTTGTAGTCTAACTCAGCAATGGGGCAGCAGGTGGCCGCCTGCTGGTGACCTGCTTGGGAGGGCAGGTGTGATGGGGCTGTATGGGTCGGGGAAGGAGGCGGCTTCTAGTTCACCACCGTCCTTCGTTGTTCAGGTACCTGCAGGTGGGCAAGCAGGTCAAGACGTTTGAGCGGATGGAGCCCCTCACCAACCACAAGGAGGTGTTGATCGAGAAGAACGTGGCTGTGGTGGTGGAGTTCGTGGGCAGGGACGCAAGCTCCTTTCCTGGCCCCGATTTCTACGGGCTGCCCCGGCCACCCCCCAAGGAGAGGCTGCCAGAGTTTGCGGTAGAATACCAGCTCCTGTCGCAGCCCGCTCTCAGGTCTTCTCTGGAGAAGAAGCTCGCTGCCCCACCGCCTTACCGTGGCCTCCCACGGATGGTGGAGCAGGTCCCCTTGCTCCAGACCCTCCGCTTCCAGGAGGGGCACTCCTGGCCGATGGCTCCTGATGGCTACATCCCCAACTCAGTCATCCGGGCTCAGCTCTTTCCCAAAGGGACTCCCCCCGATCTCTGGTGCCCCTTGCTGTCAAGCCGGGACCCCCTGCCCAAGAGGAAGCCGGTCAAGATCCAGATGCTGGAATGGGACACGTCCGAGGTGGTGGAGAAGGCGCGGAAGAAGAAGGCCCAGAAGATGAAGCAGACGTCTTCGAGCACCAGGAGCCACCGGGACTTGCTGGCGGAGATCATGACCAAGCCCTGGCTGAGGCACAAGCCCAGCGACACCAGCCTGCCTTCCATCATGAAAGCCATCCTCAACCTCATGGACGACGTCCCCTACTCCACCTACCTGCTCTGCACCTCCGCGCTGGTGCAGCTTACCGAGTCTTACCCACTGCCCTCCTCCATACAGGAACAGGCCTTTGAGCGCCTCATCCAAGACACAACCCACAAGGAGGTCAGGGCGGCAGGCGGGACTGGGGGCACTTAGAGCACCTCGGTGTGTGTGTGTGTGTGTGTGTGTGTCCTTGGCTGTCACTGTCCACATCCTCCTCAGAATGACTGGGGGGGGGGGCGGCAGTTGGATGTTGAGCGGAGGAGGAGGTGGTTCTTCCTCCCCCCTCCAGCCCAGGAGGGACGTATAGTCCGAGCCAAGTGACAACGGGGGACCCACCGAGGAGGAGGCAGCAGCGGCAGCTCCTCTCCTCCCAGGGAGAGGCAGCTGCTGCTCAGGAGCTGCAGGGCTGGCAACTGACGAGCAGGTTGGACAG